GAACACGGCATGGATCTCGGAATTAATGTCATCATCATGGGCCCCATAGATTCATCGCATCTATGCTTGACAGATTAGTCAATAAATTTCCCAAAATCTGAATGGTTATCTGGATTTTCATATGCATTCCCTTGAATTTTACTTCATTAACGATAAGCTATGTAAACCCCATGACCAAAGTTACGAGTAAAAGATTAGTTGTACTTATAATTTTGTAGCTTTCTGTATGGTAATATCCGCCACAGTTAAAATGTACATATTAAGGTCGCTTTATGTTACAATAGAGCCGATAATTTGATAACAGATGGAAAATTCGCTCGGGAAGATTATTGTTTTAGTTTAGTCCCGTTTACACCGAATTACTGGTGACTAGATCTAACCTATACCGAAGGTATATTCTATAATAATACAAGTGAAATCACATAACAAATAAAAAAAGGACGGATTTTTTATCTCAGTAATGATTATGTTGCGTTAGAGAACAATTGATGTATTTGTCAACCTTAAAATAGTTTTCTACAGAAAACAAATCGCACTGTTATTTCAGCCTCGTGTTTCCCAGTTCCCTTAGCTTTGGTAGATATTGGGTTTTTGAAATCTTTTGTACGGATTAGGTTTGAATGTAATGTGGGCGTTGAAAGACATTTTTATCCATTGCTTTCACGTAATATGCACTCCAGATCTTAGTCGTGATGATTCCATGCTTGCTATTTTCTTTCAACAGCTGCCCATCACATAGGCTCCGATCTGGGGCTATAAAAAAACTACCCAAAATTTATCTCAGTTGATTACTATACGACCAGGCTTTGTTAGAAGTTGGGAAACGTAATGACTGCTATTTTTTAGCATCTTATAGGTTTATTGAACAAACCCTGCAGGTATCATTGTTCTAAAGTTCCGTCAACTTCTGTTGAAATTTCACTTCCACTGGTAATCAAGGTAATCACTACTACTGTGGCACCCGAAATAAACTGGTTTCGGTGATTGTCGTTAACCCCAGCCTGAAGTGGTTGATACAGGGGAACCACACATACCTCTACTGTGTGACGGATATGGAGTTTCAAGCTCAGGATGGTTGGTGTCTATGCCGCAGAGATCAGCGTTAACGAGTTTGATACTTAAGTCGATACGGTCAGTACCCCGAGCATACGTGCGATAAGATATAGATATTTGGAAGATAGCGTCAAAAGTTAGCAGCGCAACAACTACACCATTACTCACACGTAACTGTGCGGTAAAACCTGGAAATATTTTTTCTTATGGAAATAGGAAACACATTAGATCAATGTTGTGACTCGGTTGTTCTAAAGTTGAATTATTTAGCCTAAAATTGGCCTAGGCCCGTATAAAATCCGTCTACAGGCCTTGTTACTATGGTTACAATCTCCCGTTCCAAAAGGTAATTGCTGGCGGTATTGGCTAATGTACCAGACAGGACCATCGGTTCAGAATGTTTTGCCCAAAGAGCACTCGTGTTGTGGTCTTCCTGAATGAGCCTCATCGAACTGAACTGGAACAACATTATTTCTCATTTCTGAAAGTCGTATGAGTATAAATCGTAGATCCCCAGGAACTTTTTGCTTCAACACCACTCTCTTCCTTCAAAAGAGCCTTATTACTATAGTTTGCTTTTCTGCTAGCCGAGAGCTCTCTTCTGACGGCGTAGTTGGGACATTGAACTTTTGACTGGCTATCGTAGTGCTTGGTCGTTCAGGACGTAACACCGAGTCTTCAGGGCACTCATCAATTTTACTACATCTCTCTTCGCATACACTGGAGGGGATTTGATTTGCACGACGGCAGGTTCACAAATACAACTGCGATTTTCATCGTGCTCCTCAGAAAATCATGACAAACCACTATGGATGAATGATATGGTGCTGTTCACAAATGGGGGCATTTAACTTCATCTAACTCCGTCTTTATCTCTGCTGCTCAGAATTGCGATTCAGTATCCGTCACTAACAATTGTAAAGTGCCCTGTTGAATAAACTGTTTGCACAGGGCTCGCATTATCAACCGGGTGGTTAATGTACACGTCAGAAACAACTGCATCCACTTTGGATAGGAATCCGCGCATGGTAATGATAAATAAATAATCCAAGAAAGTAATCATATGCATTTTGTCACTGTCTGTGGCTCTCCGGTCAAGTAGTTTAGTTATTCAGTTTTGACTTTTACTTGTGGATCATACCTCGTAACCTTTTGCTGTTCAACCGGTATCCTCGTTGAGGCAGGGCTACTAACACATCTGTTGAGCTAGGAAATTGGTTCGCACCACTCCCAGGTAGTGTTTGCGCAGGCTTTCAAACACCGTCATGCACACAACTCTCCTCCTCTCAGTCACGGTATAACCGAAGAAAATGTTTCTTCACATCCGTTATAGTTATAGCCTTTAACTTAAGAATATCCAGAGAGTTTCTTGAGAAGCAGATCTTCCAAGCGGTCGATGGTGTATTATGCGTGTTAGTTGGTATCCTCAGTTTTGGTAAAGATGAAGAGGAACACAACTGACATACTTTATTTCAGACAGAAGCCACGGAAACCCCAAAAGCACACTATTTCTCAGTCGGAATTCAGGTTCCAAACTAGATATGCTGACAAGCGACGGGGTAGATATGCCCCCAAATGGTTAAAAGCGTTTACAGAATTGCCTACTCTACCCGTGGTGATGTCATGGAGTCGGTGAATTTTCCATGAAACCGTTTTCGTTCAGAGACGCATTCAGATCAAGGATAATTCAACTTCGGTGATTGGTCAGAATCCACAGTTAATCGAGATAGTTGAAAACGATGCAGTCATTCAATAAACATGAATATGGATTTCCTTCCCTCCCTTCTTTCCTGTAAATGCGAGATG